TATATATATATATATATATATATATATATATATATATATATATATATATATATATATATATATATATATATATATATATATATATATAGAGGAGGGTTCAATTGAGAAAAAAAAAGTTGAGAATAAGAGAATCATTCTCAACCACTCATTTATTTTTGTCGCAAAAGCATTCATCGTACCAACGGAAATGGGAAAAGAATAGACATGTGTTTTCCAACAAAACATATTTTCTTAAACTATGCTAAGCATTACCTTAATATATATAAAAACATAGTTTTTTTGGTTTTTTTTTATTTTTAAGAAGCTATTTTTATCGAAAAATGATTTTAAATATACCAAAATTCATGATTTTTTAGTCTCTACAAATAGACATCCATATTGATATATAGTTTTAAGATAAAATAAAAGAAAATATATTTTTTTTTAATATTTTCAGCTATCGTTATTCATAAGTGAATAAAAATGAATCAGGTTTTTACTACAGTACATTCGTTATTCACTTATGAATTAAAATTATGATTATTATTTTTTTACAATTTAAGTATCATTCATATATGAATGTAGCATATACTAAACATAGTATATTCATATTTAAATATTAGACGATTCATTCACTTCTGAATATTACATAATATATTCAGTTGTGAATATTAGATGGTATATTCACTTATGAATATTAGATAATATTTTCATATCTGAATATTACATAGTATTACATGGCATATCACATGTGAATATTACATAGTATATTTACTTGTGAATATTAGATGATATATTCACTTATGAATATTACACAGTATATTCACATATGAATATTACAATGTGTTTTCACAAATATATATATAATTTTTATATGTTATTCACATATGAATAACATATAGACTTGCATATTCGTTTTTTGTTTTAATAATCATATACTAATTCAAGTGAGAATTATATGATACTTGGACTATTTAAATCTTACAAAATAGTAGATAGATAGAGAATTATATGAAAATTTTCAAAAAAAAAAAAAACGATTTGATCTTTTTCTAACATCAATTTTGAAGTTTTATTTGAGAATCAATGTTGAATGAATTATATGAACTGGATTTTTTGTTGATTATCGATTATGTTGATCTAATAACGCTGGGAGTATAATTAATCGTAAATGTTGAAGATCTGATCGTATTCAAGCAGAATTGAAGGTTGGCTTAAAAGAACCAAAAACGAATTTTTGTTGTTAATTGCTGAATCGTGTTGATAAACATGTTATTAACGTAGATCGATGATTGATTAACACCGGATGATGTTGATGATGGTTTAACTGAAGAAATTTGGATGATGAACGATTGAAATTTCTATATAGTTACATAGTTGAGATTGAAGGCTATTATCATATTTACAAGTTTGTCACCGTGTCTTTTTATGCTTCGATTAAATGAGTGGTTGAGAATGATTCCCCCATTCTCAACCTTTTTTATTTTTTCAATTGAAGACACCTCTCTCTCTCTCTATCTCTCTCTCTCTCTCTCTCTCTCTATATATATATATATATATATATATATATAATCTTTTTATTTAAAACCTGTTTTTTCTATTTTCATCTTTTTTACTTTTGAAAAGTTATTTTTACATCATCAATAAATGTCATATGTTGTAGTAAAATTCAACAGTTTTTTTCTTTGTTGTTGTTCTGGCGTTCTTGTTTTGGTTTGAATTTGAGTTCTTCGCTCATTTTTTGGTTGTAGCTTCTTTTTCCACTTTCGGTTAAAAAAAAGTATGCGATTTAGGTTTGTGTTCATTTGGTCATCTTTGCTTTTTTTATGGTTTAGCCTTGCGTTGGTATTTGATTCTCGTTGAATCTTGCTCGCATTCATTGTAATGGGTATTTCTTTTGTTTCAGTTTTACTGTTGTTTGGCAAACTCTCAATGCCTATTGCTCAAGCGTTGTGAATTTGAGGGAGGGAAAGAGAGAATAAGCAGGATATGGTATATGAGTTTATCGATTTAGTACATTGTAGAGTTGCAAGAAAGGGTTTTCTTTGTTGTGATGCTTCCATTGATATCTTTGGGGTTCGCTTGTATGTTGTCGAAATGTGGATCAGGGTTTCTCTAGCTTCAGAAATACAAATTTTGTTTGGCTACATAAAGTGTAGATTGATTTTTGTTTTAGCTGTTGTTATGTAGGTTAGATTAGTTTTGGTTGCTTCCGTGCAGCGGAGGTGGTAATGGTGATGGTGGGTTGTTGATTGCGGTAGTGGTGGTGGTGAGTCTGTTTGTGTTTGTGTTTGTGGGGGTCTAGGTGGGTCGAGTGGGGATGGGGATGGGGCAGGAGGGATGGTTGTGGGTGGGTGGGTGTTTATATTTTAGAAAAAAGTTGGAATTAGAAAAATATGGAAAACAATAATTATTAGTTTTCTAAAATTTTCAAAGTTGTTTGTAATTTTGAAAAATAGAAAATTTTCATTTTCCGTGAAAAATAGAAAAAATTTTGAATAAATGAGTTTTAAAAATTCTCATTTTTCTTGGAAATTTTTTCTGGAAAATGACTCAGTTTTCCGTAAGTAAATGCACCCTAAGTAATTTCCAAACTAGAAAGTATTCTCAACGTTTTCTTATGGGGTAGCTCGTCGGATCACAAAAACATCACTTAGATTGCTTGGTACAAAACATTGAAACAATGAACTACGAAGAATTGGGAGGTTTGAACATTGGAAGTTTAAAAGCTTCTAACCTTGATCTTCTTACTAAATGGTGGTAGCATAGACAATATATGGAAGAGGGTTAATAGATCTATTTATTGAGTTAATTGGGGTTTAGGGACGATTAGACCGGTGGCCCAAAGGAGGTTGTAACGGGAAAAATCAATCACTTGAATGTTGACTTGAAGCCTTTTCAAATTGATCTAAACAATCTCTTTATAGAAGCAATGACACTTTTTTTTTGTAATTTTGCTTAGTTGGGTGCTTTTTTGCTCCTTTTTTGTAATTTTGCTTAGTTGGGTGCTTTTTTGCTTAACTTGTGGAAATACCTTCCTCACTTCAATGACCGCAAAGCATTGGATGTCATGTTAGACCATCTCCAATCCACTTCCATCCCCCTCCAATCCACTTCCATCCCCCCTGGAGTCCCTACATTCAGTGTATCATCATAACAAGCAAACAGGAAAGGGGACTCGACGAGTTTCCCTAGTAACTCGACGAGTCGGATTGGGTTTCCAAGCCCTGGAGTCCCTATATTCGGTGTATCATCATAACAAGCAAACAGGAAAGGGGACTCGACGAGTCGGATTGGGTTTCCCCGCCTTCTGGATATCAAGTGAACTCTTCGAATTGATGAAACAACTTGGCGAGTTGGCTAGGGTTTGACCAGGTTTTCTGGACTCGATAAGAACTCGACGAGTCGCTAGATACACTCGACGAGTTGAGGTCAACATGGATTGTTGACCTTGACTTTGACCAAGGTTGACTTTGAGAGTAATTTTAGGATGATGACAAGTCTATCTTATAATGCTATAGGCGGTTGAGTTGGAGCAGCACGTGGGACACATCTAATTCTAGCTTGTCAGTTTAACATTCGTGAGTGTTGAGTCTTCTCACCATACCCATGGGTCTAGGGCACCAAGGCCGGTCCATTTTATGTTATGTGGTACACTAGTTGTAGTAGAGATATGTGGTATGATAGTTAGCTTTATGCTAAGCTGTATGCTAGTGATTATATGATATTTGTATGGAAGACCTTGGGGGGAGCCCATGGCAGTTGGATATAAGACCATGTGGGGGAGCCCATGGCATTCCTAGGTAAAGACCATGTGGGGGAGCCCATGGTATGATGGTATAAGATACTAGGGGGAGCCCACGACATCCTTATATGTTTTTGTATGTGTTATGTAGTATGATAGATACTTGGGTGATATATGATATGCTAGTTGTTTATGTATGTTATTGCATGGAAGACCATGGGGGAGCCCGTGGCAGTTGGATATAAGACCATGTGGGGGAGCGCATGGCATTCCTAGGTAAAGACCATGTGGGGGAGCCCATGACATGAAGGTATATGACCCTGGGGGGAGCCCACGACATCCTTATATGTTAGTAGGCATGTCTTATGTGGTATATGTAGCTTTTATAGCTAATATTATATGTGTTATGTAGATTGTGTGTAGTGTATGCTCTGGGGGACTTACTAAGCATATGTTGCAGGTTTTGGATTTGTTTTAGGTACATCTAAGCCCAAGGGTAAGGGCAAGGCTTGAAGGCGCAATGTGCACTCTCTCATGGTGTTTTATGGGACACTCTGATGTTTGAAATAAAAGTTGTAATTGATATGAGTGTTGAAAACAATTATATTTGGATTTCGTGATTTATGAGATGTGTTTGGTTAATCAAAAATGAAAAAATTCTTTTGAAAAATTGGATCGTTACAAATATTAAATAAATGAGATTATATTTATAACACTTAATTATAAGGTTTTGTAAAATAAGTTATCATATTTTAAAATTTCAATATTTATTTAAATTTTTATATGAATTTGATAAACAAAAATCAAACTTTATATTTATCATTAATTAATATAGTTTAATACATAACAAAATATTATAAGTATTAAATCTTACATTTAAATTATAATTAGTAGATAAAAATAAACTAGAAACATATAAATATATAAAAAGATGGATGAAAACCAACAATTCAAAGTTTATCCCCATTTTAAGATAAATGAATACTATAACACCAATTTGGTGTTATACTATTCATTTCTCCCAAAATGGGGGGAGGAGGAGGAATAAATGGGTTAGAGTTAAAGAGGAATGGAGATGGAAAATGTAAGTGAGTTGGAGATGGTCTTAGGGACCACTTTTAACAACAGGAAAAGAAGGAAGGAAACAGATGTTTTAGAGGCAATCTCAAGGGCTTTTGTGGGTGATTTGGACATATAGGAACGGTTAGTGTTTAAAAGTACGGTGAAAGCTCTCCCATGTTGGCTTTCGATGTTAAAGCCATGGCCTTCTTATGGCTTAAGAATAGAATAGAGTGGGAAGGTATCTCATTTGGGAATTTTGGGCTGCTAATCCTCTATATCTCAACATGTCACTTCTAAGGATACAATTCAACATACAAAAACATATAAGGATGTCGTTTTTCAAAATATGCATATCTTTAGATCGTGCTCTTTCACCTTGATACACCGTAATAGTTGCATGAGATTGGTTGTCATGACATGTATAAAAGTCTTTGGATTTCTTCGTAGGTACAGGAGTGTTTCGTGGGATCACAACAGTTAATTTTTCTCCTCTTGTTTCTTGACCAAGGGACAAAGGAGTGACGTCCAATAATATTAAATCTCGAACACGTTTATCGCTATTACCACTTAACTTTGAAGCCATGACAGCTGCACCATATGCAACAGCCTCATCAGGGTTCACACTCTTGCACAGCTCCTTCCTTTCAAAACATTCCTGCAACATACACTGGATTTTCGGTATTCTAGTTGACCCACCAACAAGAATCACCTCTTTTACACACGATTTCTTCATCTTTGCATCGCTTAAACATGCGTTCACAGTCGCAATACATTTATCGAAGAAACTCATGTTGAGCTCTTCAAATTTAGCTCGACTGAATTTCATGGAAAAATCAATCGACTCATGCAAGCCATCTATTTCGATGGAAGTTTGAATACTGCATGAGAGAATCCTTTTTGCTTTCTCACAAGCACATCTCAGCCTCCCTAATGCTCTTTTGTTCCCCGTTAAGTCCTTGTTCCATCTCCTCTTGAATTCCCGAGCACAATAATCCACCATGCGGTTATCAAAATCCTCACCTCCCAAATGAGTGTCACCACCAACAGCTTTCACCTCAATGGTTCCACCTTTTGCAATGGTCAATAAAGAGACATCGAATGTGCCACCACCTAGATCAAAGACGAGCACATTGATCTTCCGAGTAATATCAGACTTGTTGTCTAGACCATAAGCAATTGCAGCTGCTGTAGGCTCATTGATGATGCGAATGACATTAAGTCCAGCAATAGCTCCAGCATCCTTTGTTGCTTGACGTTGCGAATCGTTAAAGTAAGCTGGGACAGTTATCACAGCATCTTTCACAACTTTTCCAAGGTATGACTCAGCAGTTTCTTTCATCTTCCCAAGAATCATCGATGAAACTTCTTCCGCTGAAAAATCCTTCTCTTCACCTTTGTAGGAGACAACAATCTTTGGTGTGTCAGCAGGCCCTTGTATGATCTTGAAAGGCCACAACTTGATGTCATCCTGCACTTTGGAATCACTGAATCTCCTTCCAATCAACCTCTTAGCATCTGCATATACACGGTTAATACGCCAATAGCCAAATGTTTTCATTGATATTGAAGTGACAAAGTAAAATGCAACACAATGATAACCAAAGCTCGTGCTTATAGTAAATGGTGCAATGTATTTAAACTGTTCCCAAATAATACCAGTCACCATGTAGGTACGTAATTTGTTGTTTTCTTAGTTTTCCTGAAACCCATGCATAGCTAAATCCATAAAACCCTAAAAACCTAAAATGGAACATCTGTGGGCCGGTCAACCGTGCTTCAAAGATTAGTTTATAACAAGGATCTAATGCTTGAGTGGATTTGATTGTGGTTCAATTTGAAGAAATTTTGTTCGGAAACAATCTTCTTAGGATCGGATGACGATTAATCAAATATATTAATGAACTCTTTAATATTACAATTCCTTCCGCTGAATATGGAATTTTCCTATACTTAATCATAATAAGATTAACAACATTTAATAATAACGAGCAAAAGGCTTACCAAATATGGTGTTAGCAGGGTTCATGGCCACTTGGTTCTTGGCGCCATCGCCGATTAACGTTCTGCATCACTGAAAGCAACACAAGACGGTGTGATTCTATTGCCCTGATCGTTGGGAATGATTTGGATGTGATCATGCTTCCAAACGGCGACACATGAGTAGGTTGTTCCAAGGTCAATGCCGATCGCCGGTGCATCGTTTCCCCTTCTGTCCATTGCAGTCAAAATTCAGAATTCAAAATTCAAACTTTAAGTGTGTTTTCACTTTTCACGGTAATACAATACACGAAATAGGCGAAATAAGAAAGTCAAATTGTATGATAAAAATTGTATATTGTATAACATATAGTTGGAAACTATCATTTTATACCAATTACAAAGAATAATTAATAAAATAAAATCTAAATTGATATTGTTAAAGATTCTCTATAACCATATTATCTTAATACTTTTTTCACTTTTATCCATGGGTTTTGCATAAATTAAAAACTATATTCACTCTTATTTATATTTATTGTTCACTTTTGATTTTAAGGTTCTATTTTTCAATTTTGATTATTTTTTTTATATATAATACTTAATGTAAATTATATGAATGAGTTGTGTTTTAAATATTTTTTTATTGTTATAAGTTTCATATTCTAGTAATATATAATACAAATAAAAATATTTAAAGTTAAAGTTAATAAATAAAGACTTCAAAAATCAAAAATTAACAATAAATATGAGACAGAAGAAGAGTATAATTCTAATTTAAAGTCAATCTTAGATATTATCATATTAAATCAATTAAAAACTACTTATCTGACAAAATCTTACATTTTTAAACATTAACCTCATTAGAATAGAAATAATGAAATGTTTAATTATATTTTTTTCCCTGAATTTTAATATTTTGAAGAGTTTGCAAAGATAAAAAAAGATTAATGAGTTAAATAGCTATTTTAAATTTATAAGTAAGATGTTATTTAAGTAATAAAGAGATTTTTAAGTTTGCTTAACATGATGATATAGATCAAACTTGCATTTATTATGCGCACTTTTGAATCATGTTTCTTATCTCACATCTCTTAAGAAACATAACCAAAGTGAAAGCACACAACTATGTATTAAGAATCTATTTTTTTAACCCACATTGCTTAAGAAACAAAATTCAAGGGAAAATTAGAATCTGCAAATAATAAGCTAAAAGCATTTATTTATAAATTTTTTTAGAATGGCTTAAATATACAAAAAAAAAACCCACCTCTAACAAGGAGTTAGAAGGAAAAGAAACATTTGGAGTACAAAAAGAGAATTTTGAAGCCACAAATTCCAATATGAGTGGAAGTTATGATTATTATGCACAACCTATCTAAAAAAAAAAAAGAAACAACATCATCAAAAATATTATCTTTCTTTTGGATTCTCCGTCTCAAACAAGTAGTTATTCCTGAAACGCCATATATACCACCACGTCATCGCCACAATAGACTCAAGAACAACTTTCTTAGTCGATGAAACCACAACCAAATTCAAGAACTAATCAAAAGCATCTACCAAAATCAGAGCCAACAAGTTAACTAAACACCAATGAGCAACTCTCCTCAAAACAACCTTTACAACCTCACATTCCAGTAAGACATGATTCACAGAATCAATTGCATTGTTACACACTAGAACCAAGCCACTGGGGACATCGATAGAGCGAGCCAAAAGGTTGTCCAAAATTGGTAGACAGTTCAAGACAACATGCCAACAAAAAATATTAATTTTAGAGGGTACCACCTTGTTCCACCTAATGGAAATTGAGTTGTAGGGCATTCTAGAAGCTAACTCCTACAACTAGGTATAAGGATAACCATAAAGCACATATTATCCAATTGAGAGGACACAACTCCCATAGTAGGATCATAAGACTAACTCCAACGTCTTCACCTTCGGTGGCACATTTGACTTTGCCACTTCGTTTTTCTTTAGGAAATTCCTCGAAATATGCCCACCATCTCTGTATTCGTAACATTTCTTATCGTTGAATGTACAATCTTTGGAATAGTGACTCGTTCTTCCATACTAGTAACAGATCACCTCCCTGTCGCATCTCCCAAAATGCTTATTCTTGCACTTATTGCACCACTTGGCTTCATCGCTACCCCTATATTTCTTGTCGTTGAGGTCATACTTTGAGAACGTATTTTTCTTGTGGGATCTTGGAGATCCTTCAAGCTTCCTTTTCTCTCTTTTCTCTACTTTCTCCAGACTATTCTTTCATATATATGGGTCTCTACATTTCTAGCTAACCAAATAGCCTCCTTCAGAGTCTTTGCTACTTTCACCATTGGCCAAAGTCTATTGGCAGTCCATTAGCAAATTTGTCAACCTTGGAGAGTTCGGTGGGTACCAAATTAGGTACCAGCTTCATTTTCTTAGTGAATATGGCAGCATACTCACTGATACTCATCTTTCCTTTCTTCAAGTTATGAATTTCGTTGTTAATTTTCATAATGTCTTGCTCATAGCAGTACTCCCTTTTCAGTTGCATAAGGAAATCCTCCCAAAACATCTTCCTTACTTCTCCTTTTTGCATGGAGTTAGCCAGGAGTTTCCACTAACTTAACATGGCATGCTTATGTTGTCTAGTAGTGAAGATTGTCTTCTGACTATTGTTGTACTCACAACTTTCGAGTACCATCTCCACTTGGAGATCCAATCAATAATTTCCACTGGTGGTGGGATTCCATAAAGACTTTGTGGCTTGGATGTCATGAGGTCCTTATACTTACATCCCTCTTTTTCGATTTCATCATCAGGGTTGATCATCCTAACCTTTCATGGCTTAGCTTGGTTAACATTTTGACTGTAATTTCCTTCCTCTGATTATTCTTCTTCCAGTTCACGTTGCACGATGGGTTTAGTAGGTTCATTCCTAATCCCTTGAAGTAAACGCCTTATCTCTTCTATCTGGAGATCTAACATCACCTGAATCATTTCCATCATTATTTGTTCTTATGCAGGCATTGCCCCTAGTGTATGCTTGACTGTACGTAGCTCATGCTGCTGATTACCATTTTCTAATCCGCTTCGAGTGCTCACCATGTCATTCTACACACCATAGCAAAGTTCAGTGTACCGAGATGAGAATTTAAGATAAGGAAGGATTTATTTATGATAGACGCATAAGTCCTATTTATCCCTTCGAAAAGTTACATTCCAGTTCTAATACCGTAATTAAAGATTCAAAATCACGAACACATAAAATTTCCGAAGTCTAGGTCAGCAATAGACCTTAAATCTAACCAGGTAATAGCAAATTAGGCAACCTAAAGAATGCTATAAATCATTTAGAAAATAAAAAACAAATTAGGCATCTTATCCTAAGGTAAGTTAGTGCTTGTGCCAATTCAGGTGTACTACCTAACGTATAGTCACACGTCTCACGATCATTGCTTAGCATTCTAAGTTTATGTCTAAGAATCCTCAAATATCTCCAGTTTGCTTAAACTAATGTTATAATACCATCTGTGACATCCTTATTTTTACAGTCGTTTTAAAACTTTTTATTTATGCTTACTTAAAAGAGAGTTTATTTATAAGTGCGAAATTTGGTCCCGTAAAAGTATTTCCGAATAAATGTTTTTCATTGATTTATAAAATATTAGGATGTCATAACTGATACAAAACATAAGAATAAATAAACCTTACAACATCTTAGGCTATCAGTCTACATCTTCTTGAATCTCCCATCATTCATGTACCTTTATACTGCTACCTGTCATACAAAAAAGTTGAGTGGGTCAGGTTGAGAAACATAGTGAATACATAGGGTTTTCAATCCATAATAATATAGTTAATATGTTTAATTCTCAAACATTTAACCCAGACACCCAGTTATCCATTCCCATTTTCTTTTATATCTACTCTAAGAACCTCTCTTAAGAATCATCACCTATATCACAATTTCTTATTAAATCATCACCTATCATCACATTTTATATTTTCATCTCTAAGGGCTTCTCCTAAAGTTCATCGCCTATCATCTCAATTTATATATTTCACCGCTAAGGGCTTCTCCTATGGGTCATCGCATATCATCACCTATCATCCCATTGATAGTACTGTTTAAGGGATTTCTATGCAATACATGTTAGTAGAGTACACCGGATGAACATACGGCTCATACATCGCCTGAACATGTAATTCATCACCTGCAGGTTGCGAACATGCATGTGTTCCACCGACTGTTTAGATTAGTATGTGGTCGTCATCTACACTCTGGTAGATGGCTGCATCGCAATCATTGCAAACATCGTTAGTAAGGGTTGGGGTATCTCTTAATCATTTTCCATGGTTAAAGACCTCTCTTAATCATTTTTCATCTCCCATCTCTCATCACCCATCACCACCTGATATATATATATATATATATATATATATATATATATATATATATATATATATATATATATATATATATAAGTACGAAAATAATGGCATATTTAAATCGAGTAAAATCATATCATATAGGTTTACCAACACACATTGCAAATATAGGCACGTATATCATTTAATTGTCTAAATACCTCATATGTATGTATAAGATGAAAATAACTATACGCTCACTTGTTAAAGTGGATGAGTGGAAAGTTGGACAGCGCTTCGCTTCAGCACTTATCATTTCCTTTGATGTGAACTAGGTTCAATTATCACTAAGTCTTACTTATTATTTCTTATGACTAATGATAGTCTAGATTCCTCAACAATCCTAATGTCTACATCAAGATCTATCAAGTAAGTAGCAACCAGATAAGATCATATCAGATGTAGGGTCCATTTCGTTTATAGAGTTGGTTGGAAATCCCACTTTAAGCACCTCACTAAATCTTGCCTAACCATCACCCCCATAAGTAGATCAATCAATATAATGACTTGGAATCACTAACAAATCTTATTTATAAATTCATAACAACTATGAATATAAATATAAATTACACAAAAATAACATTGAGTGTAATTTAATTTACAGAGATTTCTTAGACAAAAATTCAAAAATTGTCGTGGTAGAACTCTAACCTTCTAGCTACTAGATGGCGGGCTCTCAAGGACTCCAGGACCTCGAAAGAGAAAGGTTGTAGGGGTGAAGAGATCGAATGAGAGACTAATGTTATTTATAGGGCAAAAAAATTATTTGCACGCCATGCACTTGTTTAGATCGGGTGGCATGGCGATTCCTAAGTGGTGTTACGTGTCGCAATTTGGGTGGGCTGTCAGATGTGCACCGCGCATCTTGTCTATGCACGCAACTGCATGCGGAAATTTCTATTTTCTTAAAAATTCATATATTCTTCATATGAGATTCGTTTTTGACGTACTTTATATCCATACATAGCTATCGATGAAATCTACAACTTTTGTTTTCCGATGGATAGTTTTGAATTTATTTTTAAAGTTATATTTTTAACATGGTTGGAGATGTTGTACCCCATTTGTTGGGTGGGGGGGGGGGGGAAGAGAGAGAGAGAGAGAAAGAGAGATAGAGAGAGAGAATTGTACCATCCCGATGTTGAGTTACTTTCAATTGTAACCCTATGTATGAATAAATATTGCATTTTAGCCCTTGAGTATAAGAAAGAGTGCAAAAGGCCCATAGTGCACAGTCAAAAAAATTCTTACTTTTTCACTACCCACTCCATCTCCTTGTCGTGATGTTCTCCCCACGAAGAACCTTCACTGATTTCTTCAATTTTTTGATTTCTTCTACCAACAAGGTAACGCTTTTATACTGTTTTTTTAGTTATAGTCGAGTATTGTGCTATTAATGTTGCGTATTTACTTATTTGAAACCGTATTTGGGGCTATTTACTATAGTTAGGGTTTCGATTTTTTGGCAAAAATCGGACTTGTTTTTCATGTTTAAACTTGGATTTTTGCTTCAACAGATTCGATTACATGCCCTAAACAAACCCTTGACTTGATTACAGTGGAATATGGCTTGATTTTGGTTTGAATTTGTATAGATTACTCGGCCAGTTCGTCGACCACGATGACTCGCCGTGGTCAGTAATTTGTGACTTTAATCTGTTTATTTTTTATTCCTAATCTTGCATATTATTTCTTGGTTTGTTGTTCTTTGTTCTTTTGCAGATTATGGCCAGCCGATCGAGGAGGAATCAACTCGGGAGTCGCCCCGACTTCCCGTGGTACACTTTTTCAAGATTTGTGGGTCCACAGGTGCTTTCAAAATGGAACGGACGTCTTGAGTGGCTGAAACAATGAAAAGTTCATGTACCAGCTGTAGTTTATTGGGGTTGGATAGAACAAGTTGGATTGTTAGAAGGTATTAAACCAATTTTGGTTAAATCTTTTGATGGGGTGCAAGGAAGATTTATGTGTATGGCATGGAAGAGGCTGTTCCAGATCCAAGAGATTATCTATAAGGAATTGGTGATCGAGTTTTTAGCAACGGTTTCATTTAGAAGGAAAATTGGTTCGCTCGAGAACGGAAATCTTACATTCTGTTTGGGAGGAGAAAGGCGGGACCAAAGCCTTGTCGAGTTCGCGATGAGGACGGAGATTTATCTCCCGTCCGAAGTTCACACTGAATCATGTATTGAGTTTATTACAGGTTGCATCCGAATCGCTAAGGGATTCAAAGATGATACATATTGGCTGACTATTGCAAATGACACATACAACAAAGGGACTGCACAAGAAAGCGAGATCCGGTCACCTCTCCATTGCCTCCTGCACAGGTTAATCACGAATACCATAAATCAAAGGCAAGAGGGGGACAAGGTCCCGACATTGGGTTTATTTTTCTTATGGTCCCTCATCACACTAAATATCCATGTGTATATCCTTTTTCTTTTGGTGGAATTTCTATCCATTCGGGCAGGAAAAGATCGCCACGATTCTCCTCTATATGGCGAGATGTTGATCACCCGGATTGCACGGTCCTTTGGCATTCTTGAGAAGCGTGAAGCCATGTTCTTGACAATCGAGCCTCAAAAATATTTTCTCTTCTTCTATATAAAAGGTCTCAAATTGATGTTGATAATGGGCTTGGTAATTTTTCCATTCTAGATGATACTCCCCGGCCGAGGATGAGCTCCCAATGGAACCATACAATGTAACTTTGAGGAAATTCCAAGACAACTTGACACAAGGTGTCAATTTTACGAATATGAGTTTGGATTTCATGATGCAAAAAATGAACTTCAATCGACCCAATAAATTTTCGGCTTCATATCCGCATGTTCCATGTTGGGAAGAGCTTTGACGGGAGTGGAGCGGCATGGAGGAGCTAGTGGAAGTGGAGGCGGTGCTTACGATGATGAGCAGGAATGAATATTTTTATCCTTTTGTTGCAAGTGGACTTAAGAGATTTTATTTTGTTTGGTTTATTTTGGTTTGTTTGCTTTGGTTGTTTATGTTGGAGATTTATCTTTTTATTTGGTTATTTAATTTATTTCCTAGTTTTATCACTTTTCCTTGCTTTAGATTCCTAGGAATTTTTTAGTCCAAGTGAGGAGTAGTTTTGGCAAAAAAAAATGACGCATTTTAGAGAAAGATTAGAAAACGGCGAGAGAAGTGAGAGTTGAGTATTTTGAGTGTTATTTTGTGCGAACGAGTGAAGAGTCACGTCACCGAAATGGTTATCTTTGGAATATTGAAGAAATCTGATGTATACAACACTTACTTGTGCCATTTCATTCTCAACACGACGTGGTACCCTACACCATGACGTGGTGTCACAGTCGGAAAAAAAACTCTATTCCACCAAGCCCACCACAACGTGTTCATTTTTACCATGAGGTGGTGCCTTCTCGAGTCAGATTTTTTAGTCTAATCCTATACATCCTGAAGTATATATGTCCAAGCCTTTGAGTCACGTTCTGTAGCGGTCAACCACTTCCATTTCCACACTTTTGAGCAAGCTATCTTACACACATGCAACACGATTCACGATGCATCTTCTATCTTAGGGGAGTCTTTTCCTTTTTGTCCATTTTATTTTTATGTTTTGCATAGCATGCAATAAAGGCATTGCATGGATTAAGTGTGGGGTAGGGATATATTCCATTATAAAAAAAAACATTTGATTTTTCAAAAATTTGCGTTGCTAGTTTTCAAAATTTACATTCATATAGACTTGAAACAATAGTTTAATTTAGTAAAACCTAGCTAAGTAAATTTTTTCCTAGTATTGAATGGGATGATCCGAAGAAAGCCTAAATGTTTATCCGAGCCAACACATATTATAGTGTATTTGTGGCTTCCCATTTACTAGTAAAAATCACGAGGTATGAAAGGTAATCTGGTAGCTTATATGATGTAACAAGTTTTGCAGCTTGTGCCTAAAATCTATCCAGGAGAGCTTATGTAGTCATTGCACTTAGACTAATGCCTCTAACCAATCAAGGTTGAAGTTAATCTCCTTTCTTAAGCATGTAGGACTTTGAATGAAAAAAAAGTGAGATACATTAAAAAAACCAGAGAGAGAGAGAGAGAGAGAGAGAGAGATTACCAAAAAGTTGAAGAATTTTAGAGCTGACAAAGTATGAAATCCAAAGATCAAAAATTCAGAAGAAATTATAAAAGTTGAGGATACCAAAAATCAAACAAAAAGGTGGTGAATTTAAATAAGTGAAAGACAAATATCAAAGAAGAGATGAATTCCAAAGAGCTCCATTGTGGTATCAAGTTGTAATTTTTCTAGAATTTATGTATGCTTGGTAGTTTAACCAAATTACCTTGAGGTTAAGAAAGATTTATGGGGATGGATTCGGAGGTTTGCAAAAATGAGTGTCGTATAAGCTAAAGGGTGAAGGTTCATATGGATTGTGAGTATTTAGGAATGGGAAGTTTTTAGGAATTATAGACACAAATACATGCATTGTGGTCTTGGGATAATGGCTGAGTTTGAAATGGATTGTTTTATTTGATATTGGTGAAATAATAAAAAATCAATTTACTTGGGGGCAAGCAAAGAATAAGTGTGGGGTATTTTGATATGTGTATATCTATACATATAATTGTACAACATATATCAATATTTTTAATTTCTTTTATGCCCTTTATAGAACAAAAGGTACTTAATTTGTTATGTATTGTGCTGAAGGGGTAAAAGATATGCTTTGAGAAAAAAGGAAGCAGGAAGTTGGAAGCTAGGAATTTTAATGAAGACTTTTAAATGAAAAAAATGCACTTAACACGTCGTGGTGACATCTCCACCACATGGTGTTTTGGAACCTTCCCGATGGATTATGGATGCTTGCCGAATACGGGATAACTTTGAAGACCACGACGTGGTGGCCTTACCACGTCGTGGTGATATGTTTTTTGGAAAACTATAAATAGATGTCATTCTCCTCCGAATTGGGAACTTTTGTTGGGATCTTTGGATGATTTTTGAAGGCCAAATATCTGAATTGAAGCTTGGAAGTGAAGAAATCGATTATAGCTTGGGAATTGAGAGCATTAAGGCAACAAAACTATTAATTGTGACTTTATGTTTTAGTTTAATTATGTCTATGCATACGAAATTCATTTTTTTTGACTTTAGTTGCTGAAATCATGGGCAAAAACCATATGACTTTCGTTTGGTGTAGATTTGCTTGACTATCTATGATTTGATTTATGGTAGGATTACATTTTATTGGTTATTTGTTAATTTAGATTATTAAAAGACCCTTATGTGCTTATGATAACTGCTTAATCTATTTATAATCTAATTATTGTTGAGTTTAATTAAGATTGCATGATTATATTTCTTAATTGAACTTGAATCTTATGATCTTTGTGGATTGCAAAAATAGTAGGACTGGAGTTTTGACTAAAACCTAGGGTTAGATAGAAAAATGGATAAATAAGTGTAGGAGCTAATATATGATGACCAATCATATATTGAATTGAATCAATTAATCAAATTTGATCAATCTATTATAAGTCTAATTTAACTCGAACCGAACATTAGTGAGCTTGTTAGTTTATGTCACACCCCCAAACCGAGATGGCGGAAACATTCGGGGGTGGAGGATGTCATGTACAATATCATAACAATGCACAACAGTAAAACAAGCAACAACATCCATTGCATTAATAATATAGTTAATACATGTGTGTTCTTTGTATAGTTGTATGACACCAAAAATGTATAGCAAAAATAAAAGACGAGTCTTGAACATGCTCCGTCTTCTCAAAACCTGTGCTCGTGTACCTGTCTAATGGTTCCCTGAGAATACAAGTTATTTTGAAAAGAGAGTATCAACATTTAAGTTGGTGAGTTCATAAGTTTTTAGTGTCAAAATGTTTGTATTTGCTTCATGTAATTGTTAGTATACTTCCCAGAAAATCCTATATTTTCTTTTTTAAAATGAAAAGTAGTCTTTTACCCGAGACCCAACTGTTTGTATGTTTGTTCTCTTGTAATAGTGTAAAATGTATGTTTGTACTTGAAATAGTACAAAATGTATGTTTTCAATATTTGTAAACTATCGTTACTAGAAAATTAGTATGCATTGCTCATGTGAGAATATCATTGTATGTATGTAATGGAAAATGAATATTTACAGTAGTATTGTTTAAAATACACTACTGATGAATTAACTGCCTTGTAACCGAATTGGTTAATTAAGGTTTTAATGTGATTAAGGTTATAACCATGCTTTATTAACAAGTATAAAACACGACGTTCTTCATGCGTCGAAAATGATATGATATTTGTCACCCGTAGACCTATAGGTCCCACTGTAGCTAGCAACAAGGTATAAGCTGGTCAGTCCTGTATATATCTATACACAAACTCACACTCTCCCTCCAGGAGACTCTGGTTACAAATCATAACTTAGCAAGAATATCGCTATGTGCCATGAAATAGAATTTCACATTCTAGTTAACTTGTTCTTATATAGTATGTAAGTTCCTCTTGTTCTTGTAAATGAATAGTATACTTTGTAATGAAATGTAGTAGTATGTATGTATTGATTCATGTATTGTTTCTATGGTCTAGAAAATAATATGATTTAATTCTCTAAACTATACCTATTATAGTTTAGTAGTACGTTTTGTTTGATCTGTAATGATTTGGAGAAAAGACTCAACTGCCGAACATATGCAATTGTGTTAAGTATGTCCTTGAAAATGAGATTTAATATTCATGTATATATTTAGCATGTATAATTATGATTTAGCCAACAGTCGGACTAGAGATCCTACCCTAATCCAACAACCAAACAATGAGCAGGAGTTACGGTATTTAACAATAGTCCTAAGTCAGTTAAAGCATGATTATGCATAACTATACAAACGAATATGATTTTGATATAAACAGAAATCTAAAATAGTTTAAAAGAGTTTTGAAATGATTTTAACAATATTTATAAGCTTAAGAATACCTTTTTTTGTTTGTTTTCACATGTAAGAGTTAACATAATTAAATTATGTTCTACTTGTATTCCCCCCCTCCGTAAAAACATTGAAAAAGGTAAATTGTAGGGGTATGAACTCACCTTATGTGAGTGATTCGTTTGAAGGTTCGATATAGGATTTTTATTTCCACAAGTTATATCCCGAGGCAAAAACGAGTCCTAAATGCATTTCACGTAATATATATGTATACAATTAGTGAATATAATCGCAAGTACGTTAATGAAATAGACTAGTTTGTAAGTTTCACTTACAAATACGAGTGTTAGAAGCAATTTCGAAAGGCTACTACGAGTTCTTGGCCAACCCTTTGGGTTTTCGGCCTAATGAAGATCTTGGTGTTCCTAGTGAAACCAAGGAGATTCAAGGGTTTTCGGTTAAGGATCTTGATGAAATGAAGAACACTTGATGCTCTAAGCAAGATACGAAGGAGATTCAAAGGATTTTCGGATGATAGTTGAGAGAGAATGAGGGTTATCGGTTGATGTTCTTGAGAGAGAAAAGTGTGTTTTCGGTTAGAAGTGTAGAAGTGAGGAAATGTGTT